ACTTTTCTTGTTTGAAAGTTATCGTGTTAACAAATTTTTGCGTACAGGGTACAGCGTACAGGGTACAGGGTACAGGGTACAGGGTACAGGGTACAGGGTACAGGGTACAGGGTACGCACATACATTCGGACATCGAAAAAACGCTAGATTCGTGTTCCCTGGCCCCAAAAACACCCAGAAAACACATTTTTTATGGGTGTTAATTTTTCGACCGATTCCAATACTTTACCTTACACACTAGATGTGTGCGGAAAAGTAAAAATTAAATAAAAAAGGAAATCTAACCCGATTTTTGCCAAAATGTCAGCAATAGATTTGGCGTGGTAGTCTTCGATGGTTGTGCTGTAATTTGCACATTAATTGATTGAACGTTGACACCTTCAAATAATAAATCATTCGATTGGTATGGTAGAAGAGTGTTTTTGTACTTTAAACATATCGAATTTATGAATGCATGCCAACGATAGAAAATTGGATCTCTCATCGCCTAAAATATTCAAAATGGAACAGGAATGAGATGAAATTTATATAGTTTGCCAAAGCAAAACAAAAATCTGATTAAAAGCAGTTGGCCGGGTTTATGTGAAGAAAAGAATAAAATATGGAAAGTTAAATGGATATTTTATATAAATATGAGAACATTTTATGTGTAAAAATAATTTGGCAATATTACCGTTGTTACATCAGCCATAACGCCATAATCTTCTAAATGACGGCCATCAGGATCGTGTACAAATGCGATTATCTATCATATTAATCGAATTACATTAATTTCATTACATAAATTGATTGATAAAATTCAAAAATATTTTTACACATTACATTGTGTCCAACATTATGTAAATTTCCATAGAGTTGTCGATTTGGAGAAATTGCACTAGCTTCAAGAATATTGCCCAACAAATCGATGCCATTCATTTCGTCAAGTCGAATTTGCTTATTTGTCCCTTGTTCAACAACATAACCTTGATCGATAGCTTGATGAATACGATCGCGCCACCGTTCCAAATCGGCTATTTCGACAATATTATCATCTCGATTTAAGTCTTGCAGCTAAACAAAATAATCCAGAGGAACATAATCCATGAGCAATCATTATTAAAAAACTTCCACTTATCCCTGAAACAAACCATTGCATTATCGTGGCGAGCTGGATATGCTCGATTGTTCAAACCCCGCACAATTTTAGGGAAGTAACCTTCAGGTACGCGTTCACGTAAATTATTCAACGGTTTGACTCGTTCCAAGCGATTACAAAAGCGATCATTGTTATACCGTGCAATAAGCTATTTTAAAATGTTATATTTCGATATTAGTTTCAACTGAATTGAAGGAAGAGTTTATAGGAATTATCTGTAATATTTACTTGACTGTGCATATAATAGAATAGTTCGCCACGACGATCTTTTGAAACTATTTTTATTGGCCCCTCGCCCGGATAAACTAAATGCCAATGCCAATGGTGCATATTAACCCCGATATCTTCGCGAAAATAGGCAATCCGTTGCTCTTGTTCGCGATCCGATGCTGTAAAATTCATTTGAATTTCGACCGGCATACGGTCCTCGGCACGGACGAGCGACCCTTCTTCGCGGGCCCGTGGAAACGCGGATGAATCTATAAATTGATCTGGAAATTGTTGAACAATCGATGGCAATGCAATATGTTGCGTTTCTCGTCGATGTTGCACACTCGTCGCAAGTGCATACTTCACCATAATGAAATAGCATAAAAAGCATTAAAAAATATTTAAGAAAATTGCACAAATTATTTATTTAGTTACCAAAAACAAATATGGATTAACGCGATCCTTTATGTAGGCAGCTGTTGAAATGAAATCCGAAGCACTTGCATCCATTAGTATTTGTATCAAATTCCCAGCAATTTGTTGATGCGTTTTATTGAAAAGAGAAAAAACGCCAGTGCGTTTAATCGATTTAGTGAACTCAAGATCAGGGTGTTGAACTTGATGCAAAGGTATTGTTCGCTCAACATTTTCTCCAATACGTGAACTGACATTTACACCAATCGACTTATAACGTTCCGTATAGAAATCCAATGGCACATCGAATGCCATTTTACCGCCATCTTTTGCAGTGAACAACGGCTCGTTTGGCCGCTGAAACAACAAATTTATACCATTTTCAAGTCCACTTTTATTTTCCGCCATTTCGAAAAGTTTCAGAACGTTTTCTTTAATTCAACGACAACTCAGTTCAACTCAACTATTACTGCTTGAACAATAATGAGTGCGCTTTATATACACAAGCGCTATTGGTTTTTTTTTATCAACATATTTATTTCAACCGCAACTCATGCATACGCTAACAAGAGTTTTAAAGGAAAAGCGGTCATTTCCGTTTTTTTTTTTGCAAATTGTGGCACGCGCTCGGCTATCGTTTTAATTATTACATTGAAAAAATGGCATTTCGGATTTTTCAAATGTGGTTTTTAATGATGGTTAACAAAAACTGAGAGAATATTGTAGTTCTTTTTTATAAATTTGAAACGAATTCAAAACATTGAATTGGCATTATCAACTAATTAATTTTATTATTGATACATTTATTATTTGGCATGTACGTTATTGACTGAAAGTCTATCTTTTTTTGAGTTATATGATTCATTGAATGAATTTCAATTATTTATTTAAACTTTCAACGTATTCCTCCTAATAGATTTAATTTATAAAACTTTAAATAGTCCACAAAATACAGAAAAAAACCGGTACAGCTGTATTTTTTTTATTTGGGATTGCCATTATAATTTGGTCTTCCAGTTCCGGATGGGCCACCGAAATGACGATTGTAGCCTGTATCGAGTGATGTGCGTCCGTTTTGACTTCCCCATATATTGGCATTTCCAGAAACACCAACATCAGTTCCAAAACGATGTACAATGTACATTAGGGTGGGTCAAATTATTAACCTCAAAGGCTTTTTGAGATTATGGTTCTACGGACCATAACAAGCATTTTTGCCCAAGGAACCATACCTCTATCGTGAATTTCGAGCCAGCCAAATTTTCTATCAAGATATTTTCCCAAATACTCAAAAATTGACTTAGACATTGCATAAAAAATTCAAAAAAACATTATTTTTTCTCTAGCCAAATGTGTATGCGAGGGTTTTTGGGATCGAGAAATCCATTTTTGACATTTATTTTTCCATATAATAACGTTTTTATACGATTTCCATACAAAAACTGGCAAAAATGGTCGTTTTCTTCTTTTTTTTCCAATTTTTTTCTGTTGATTTCGATTTTATCATCGGATCAGAAAATTATGTTCTACAAAGTTGTTCAGAATGATGAGAGAAATTTTTTGGGTCAGCTGCCCTCCAACTCATCCACCCCATAGGGGGGTCGGGGGTCATAGCCCCTTAACCCCTGATTTTTTTGACTTGAAACCCGAAAATTCGGCTTCAGCATGCCAAAAAAACCTTTAGAAAATGTTTTTTCCAGAATACTGACATTTTTTAAAATGTGAATTCCCGTCAGATTGACCTATGACCAAATCAGCATAAAGAAAATGAGGTATGATGATTATAGCAATACAATAATCCAATAATAATGTAAATAAAATGGATTGAATATTTTTTTTAAAAAAATTATGAATACAAATTTAACACTATCAACGTGTTAGGCTGTTGCGAAGCAAATGTTAGCCATGTGATTGTCAATAGAAATGTGTATGAAAACACATGTTTTGATTCAATAAACATATGTAGCTGCCATATGTAATAAAGTATTCGGGGACTTACAGTTTCCTGAGTTAATCATGAACGCAACGTTATCTTTTGTATGATTCAAAAGAAACCATACAATAAATACAAATGTCGTGGTTCAAAAAAGTGGTTCAAATACGTATCTCGGTGAATCACAAATTTGATTTACATTTCAAATAAAGTGTCTATATATTTACGAATGTTAAAAACAAAAAACGACATAACTATTTAAGCCAATCGAAATCAGTAGATCATCGTATCACTCGTTGTATTCATTTGTTTGACGTTGGTTGCTGTTTGTAATGTCGCTGTTAATAAGGGGCTGCTATTAGAGCAAGATGAATTGAGAGCCTGAAACCCAAAACAAGTTATAAAAATTCTTTTCGGAAAAAAAGCATAAGAATGTATTTTAAATGAAAAAGGCGATAGAAAAAACTGAGAGTTAAAAGAGCATATACAAAACTGAGAATTAAAACAGAATATAAATTCAGTTAGCAACAAAACAAACAAGCAATATGTTATATTTTGACTCTCAGCTTTTATTCGTTTCATGTTTTTGACGAAAGCAAATATAATATTTATCGGTTCCAAATAAAAAGATAAAATGTCTTACATCCGTAAGATGAACTTTTCCGCACTGTGATCCACGACTTGAAAGAAAACTAAATCTGACATTAGTTTTAGATAAAAATAATTTTCGAAGCACTTTTCTTACAAAAACTACTAAAGATGGGAATTTTTGTATCGGAGCCATGCCTATATGATATCGTTATCATGTGAAAATTTGCAGAGGTTATTTTTTTCACAAAAAGTTAACATTCTGAAAGTTCGAAGAAATTTCAATGCATATTAAGGGTACTTCCCATACAAAATTTCGTTTTAGAGCGAAAAATCCAAAATATTGTTCGGGAGGTGTCCCTAATATTCGTTGAAATGTCTTCAAACTCTCGGAATAGTATTTATGTGTGATAAAAATAACCTGTGCAAAGTTTCAGCTCATTACGATATCATACAGGCATGGCTTCCATACAAAAATCCAAATGTTTTGAATTTTTTGTATAAAAAGTGTGTCGAAAATGAATTGTATCGCAAAACTAACGTCATATTCGGTTTTCTCGTACCCAAAAACCCCCCAATTCACATTTTTGAGTGTTTAAGAATACATATTTAATGGAAAAAAAATTGAATTTTTCCCATGGATGGACATGGGCATCACACCAGACATGACACTTTACCCTGTCTACCAAAGTTGGTCAAAATCTAATGGTTTCTATTCCTCGGCACCCCCAATCATCCTGTGAAGTCAGATTTTGAATTACTTTTCTTGTTTGAAAGTTATCGTGTTAACAAATTTTTGCGTACAGGGTACAGGGTACAGGGTACGCACATACATTCGGACATCGAAAAAACGCTAGATTCGTGTTCCCTGGCCCCAAAAACACACAGAAAACACATTTTTTATGGGTGTTAATTTTTCGACCGATTCCAATACTTTACCTTACACACTACACACAGAGAAATTTTACAAAGAAAACTAGATGGCATGTCGTATAAAATTTGGAACTAGATGACAATACATATAAAATTGTATTTGTCCATATAATCTTCAGGTAAAATATCGTTTTGTGTCGAAAGACAAACGAAGAAGAACCGCACAAAGGAGAATACACAAAAACGATATTTTGTATGAAATTATATGAACAAATACAATTCTATATGGAGTGTCAACTAGTTCCGAATTTTATACGACAAGCCATCTAGTTTTCATTGCAATATTTCTCTGTGTGTAGGTGTGTGCGGAAAAGTAATATACATTTTCAGTGCCAAAATGAGGCGAATAAAAACTGAGAGTTAAAATACAATATACAGAATTGAGAGTAAAAACAGCAAATTGATATATGCTACTTTTGCTCTCAGTATTCTATGTGTTGTTTTAACTCTCAGTTCTCTATATTCTCGTTTTGTGCTCAATAATTTCTTATGCTCTTTTTCCGAAAAGAATTTTTATAATTTGCTTTGCGTTTCAGGCTCTCAATTAGCGTTACAATTAAAAGTTCCAACCTATTACGATGGAGAACACAGTGGTGCTTTTGAAGAACATTCACTGCAAAGACGTCATTCAAGCAAGGGCCAACACTATCCTACTTTCAACAGATGGCGTCATCCATCAGAAGTCCAAGCCAACTGCTTCTATTTATTTTTAAGAAAGTTAAGAAATAATACATTTTCTAGCCAGAATGAGATAAACAATTATTTAAAAAAAAGCTCTCTTATTCTAATTCTCATGATTTTAAAAATAACTCAAATTATTTCCCGCTCTTTTTAATGGGATGGATCTCTTCATAATGAAATAAAGTATGAAAGCTTCTTCTTTGCTCTTTGTTATTTGTCATCATTATATTCATACATAACTATATCAAAAAAATATATAGCGTAATTCATTTTTAATTTTGAACATAAAGTTTTTGCTGCACATATGTGTTTTATTGCAAATTTCTAAATTCTGATAATTGTAATATCAACAAGTATATTAATGCCAAAATTGTTTATGATTATGAGGGTCATACATGCGCAATTCATACGGAAGGCGGAGCATCAAAGGCATATCACGTGCAATGGATAAAAAGATTTTTATATTAAACCACAACAAAAACATAACACAATCCATTTGTCTCAAACATTTATTTTCAAAAATATTTCAAAAAATAAATACGAAAACTGGTATTGAAAAGCAATTTTTCCTTAAAAAAAAAACTAAAATGTTGCATAAAAAGTGTGAATGATTTGAAGATAAGGGTTATAATAATACGACCGAGACCGCGTGCGAGTGCATCAAAATACCGGTACCAGACGGTGTCTATGTTTATTGTCTGCAAGCCGCGTATGTGTGAGTTTTACTAATGCCGGTGTGCCGTGGATTAACAATATTGTTGATGTTTATACTGTGACAACACATATGCACAAGCTTCGTTTCAAAATATGTTGGTATAGTATACTGAAAACGCGATGACGACATCGTTTTCGAGGATCTAAAACTATAGCGCTATGGAAGTGATGCTTTTTCACACATGACACAACTACAGGCGGTGTGTGTTTATGCATATATTTTCAATGTTCGACGTTTCAGTGTGTATACTTCGCGGCTCGTTCGTTCAAGAAGATACTTCGTAAACGGTTCAGCGTGCTTGCAAAATACATTCTGTGCTGTGCCGTTGTTACGAACGGACGAAAATTCTACTCACAAGCATTTGTGCGTGTTTATTTTATACTCTATTTAGAGTTTTTTTTTTCAGAATCCTTAAAATTCATGGTTAAGAATTCTTATTTTTTTTTTTAATTTTTAGTGTTAATTTCCAGTGCAAAAATACCAAAAGGCGGTATTTTTGGTAGCCAGCGGGCCATTTATTAAACTTTTTCTTTGAAATAAAGGACAATAAATGTTGGTATTTTTTTAAAAATTGTGTATAAATTAAAAAATGAAAACGATGAGAATTTAGAGCAGAAAAAGATAAACTAGTGATTTTTGTGTGTTTGTTAAATTACTCCACATTTGTTGATTTGATTTGCGGAGAACGCGTTTCAACGATAAACTCAATTTAATAATATAACATAAATAGTAAAGTGTTCTGCTGTTTGGTTCCACACACACACACAGCAATGAAAGAACAAAAAATGCTTCGTTTCACTTGGCGAAGCAATTTTTGGACACTGGCCGCAATTTTTGTAATTTTCTTGATCGGATTACAAACCGTTCAGCCAAAGGTAAGGATTTAATTTTAAACAATGTATGTGAATAAGTGAGTGTGCAAAGACTGTGAAATTGCAAAGTTGGCAAAATTCCTTATATCGCACGATCTACAACCCGCGGCATTGATTCATTTTACTTTGACCATGTAACCAAGAATATATTCTAATTATGACTGAACGAAAAAGAAAATTAAACCGGTTTGAAATCCAAAATGAAATAGCGAAGAGCTATTTAAAAAAAAACCAAGTGGGTTGAATGTGATATCAGCTGTTTAAAAATGTTGTCTCTAGTTTAAATGTAATAGATAACGTATTATTACTTTTGTTGGATTTTCCTGTGAACTATTAGCAATTCATTATCTTTCGGAAAAGATAAGTGTTAACATCTAATTGAATGTCTAGCAAATACTTGACTTAGGATTAATTAACCAAATCTTTTTATCGCACGGAATGTGTTATCGCTCATGTTTTGACAAGTAATGATTTTTTTCGATTTACCGCACCTTATATAATTCAATAATCAATATGCACATTTATTATGACAAACAAAAATTTTCTTTGAGAAAAGCCATTGAAATTGGCATTTGATGTTTTTTGGAAACCGAAAATATTTTATAAATATTCAAATTAAACTAGTTTTTGTCGCGTGCTGTCATAGTCGAATAATAATTTTAAAACCGTCCAATTCAAACATAATTTCAATGAACCATCTGTAGAATGTTATAATGAATAAATTGATTGTTCGCCTTCGTATTAATTTCTTCTAAAAGTAAAAAATTGCATGGTATTTTTCATCAAATACATTATTTTTTGCTGTTGTTTTTTCGCTGGTGGAAATAATTTTATATAAAGCTGTGTGAAAAATTTTTATAAAAAGATCTCCGCCAAATTCCCGTTGCTCACCCTTTAAAAAAAATGTGTTTTGAATTGTATATCACATTCAAATGATGCCATTTAGCTTCATCTAACAAGATTTTGTCCCATTCTCCGGCGCTTGTTTGTTTTCATTCTCAACTGCATTTCCGCAGGATCGTTTGAACATTTTGCAACGTAGCGAGTAAAAATATATACATAGTATGTGTGCAACAAAGAAGAAAAAATACTGCAGAAAGATCGACTCATACCTAATATTGCATATAACCATATGCATAAATGAAGACCGACTAACCAACCGAATTTGTTAAAATTGAGTGAGTCACACACTTTCAAATGTTGCACAGCATACTGAGCGCCCACCAAAAATCATAACATTCACGATTAGCTAAAACAAAGGCAATCGTTCGAAAGTAAAAAAACCGTCCGACTAATATGTGTATGTATGTGTGTACGAGTCTTTTCTTGCTACGCGTCGACAGTGTTGCATTAAAAGTTTCGTCGAAAATAAATCCTTCGTTCTTGTGCGAGAGTTGAAAGCAAAGTCTTTATTGTGCATGTGCATTCTTGTCACGTTCATTTTTCTAACGTAAAAATGATCCCGTGTTGTGGTTCACACGATTCGATTCCTTTGCCATCAACGCTACCATTTTTTCCTCTTCTTTTTGTTCAACATGATTGTTATCATTTGTGGTGTATGACTGCTTGTCTTGTGTGAATCTCTGCGATTTGTTCCACTCGTTTGAGCGATTGTGTGCCAAGAAGGGGAAGAGAAGTGGTGTGTATCCCATTAACTGAAATTACTTGAAAACCCAATAAATAACCATTTAAAATCGATATATTTTAAAGAAATCAAATTTTAAGTAGATCTCATACGACAACGTATAACAAACAATGCATCAAATGAATTTTTGATAAATCTCCGCGTTTCAATTCATTGAAAATGAATGATAGACCGAAATCTAATCTGATCCGGAAGACTCAATCCATTATTTTATCTGTTGTCCAGTAAATTATACCAAAATTTTGTTTTGTTGTACCTGCAAAATAATGAGCTATTAGAGTTCATAGAGCAATGGGGACACTTTTTACCATTTTTTTTTTTTTTTAAATAAAAAATAAAAAAAATAAAATGAATGTAACGATGAAAATACCCGTTATATTAAGTTTGAGATGATTTTCAACATTTTGTAAGTTCATATTTACACACACAAAAAATGCGCAACGCATATTGAATGAAACTGTAGACTGCATAACGTTGTCATCGATACCATCTCATCTAATTTTCCTCATTTTCAGTGTTTCTATCGTGCCAACCATTAATACGTTAATGGTAAGATATCGAACAAGTTCCATTATGAATACATGATTGAACCGAACCAAAAATGTTCATAAAAAAAGACAAGAACGCAAACAAACCAGTGAACAGAAGAAAAAGTTCGACAGTCTCTTCCAACAGATACGCCTTTTGTTGAAGACACAAAGCCATTTTTAAGTCATATAGTTTATTCGGTTGTTTCACTAACATAGAAAATGACATAAGAGAATCTTTTTTTTTCTCTTCTCTTCGTTCAACCGCTCGATGATGATGATGATGAACAAAATTACCACGAAAAGCACATGATTTATGATTTGAAATTGGAAATGCTACATATAACTATCTGAATAGCGATAGACAAAAAAGAATGGATATTTGCACGAAATCGCACTTTGCCATCGATAAAATGTTGATAAAACTGTAAATATTTCATCTTTAAAGATGACTTGGGTCAAAGCCAACCACCCGTATGGGCTTCAAAAGAAACAAGAATAGAGAGTGCGTGTGAGTAGCATAACAATAAGGGAGTTGCTTCTATTTTGACTAATAAATGCTATGATTATTTTATTATTTGTTATCAAAATTATTGTTATTTTATTGATATCAAATCAAAAAATCCATAATCATTAAAATTGCTACACACCACATTTCTTCTTGAGGTGTCGTTCAAATTTTTCATGTATTGTATACGTTGAAAGAAAATCTTGTTAACAAGTCAACAAAAATTTGTTGATTTCAAGAAAAACGATCACGAATTGGCTTGTGTTGTAAAGTTCCTTCTATTTTTGTCCAAACGACTTAGAATTCGTCGAATTCATACAATTTAAGTCGCATTTTCGATTTGATTTGCCTCTATTTTAAAACTATTTGTAAAGAATGTGATTTGCGCTTTTTCATAGGCCACATGAATAATAGTTATGAGGCACGAACCTAAGGTCAAAAATCAAATCAACACTTAAGATGCGAAACATTATTACATTACATTATTATAAATGGAGCACACATGCCATATCCCATGAGATACCGACTTCTCTCTTTCTCTCTCTCGTGATCTAAAATTAAACACAGAAGAAAAACTACGAAAAATGAATGATTCTGAAACGGCATAATTTACAAAATGTGCTTATTACGGTAAATTTATAGCTTTGAACCGCCAGTTGAGACAGATCCATTTAATCAGAATTTGCTGATGTTTTCACATTAAAAGAACTGTTTTGTTGTATGTGTCATGTCCATGGTATAATAAAGTTAATAATTAGTAATTACTCATCAATGATATAATAATCGCTACATTGATTTAACATGAAGCAATTTTATATTCTTATTCCAATCATGCTTACGTTATTTCTCAATTCGTTTCACAAATTAAAATGTTATGCTTTGAACTGCGAAGATGACATTGAAATACTTTACGTCATCTCCATATTAGATTTGAATAAATGCTATTTTTGACAAAATACTTCATTTTTTCAATTGCAAAATCATATATTTGTTTCACGTTTCACAGTGAATATAGAAATGTGCGTAAAATTGCTTTGAATTTGTTTTTATTTCAGGCAAAAAATATTGACATTGTCATTAAATTATTATCATTCTTTTGAATGTCTGTGTAACAATTATTGATGGGGCGTTTGCCTTTTTTAACTATTGTGTATTACACAAAGTGAATCTAAATAAATTCAAGAATGAATTTAAATGTTGAAACGATTTGGGTAAAGAAATGAAGTGCCATACGGTTTTTGACTGTGTCGGCAAAATCTTCTGTATCTCTCCAATTTCACTGAATATTACAAACATCGCCCTCACAATTTACAACTTCCGTTGAATGCCTCCAATTTCGTCGAAATTCAAACGAAATTCGAATCATTTCTCAGATTTTCAATTTCATTGAGATGCACAAATATTCAAGAGAAATAAAAATCGTTCATTTCAGAAATAAAATATACTTATAGACCCATGCAAAGCAACGAACCAAAGATATTGTTAAGATAAGAAGTTTTATTGAGATAACAGAGTATTTAACATCAAATCAAATAGAAGATAAAACACATGTTGTTTTACGCTACTAAAATTAAAATTTGTAACACTAAGTGCACAAATATTTAGTCACTCGACTCTCGAATGGATGCTCACGATGATGAGTTCACACCAGTTTATGAATACAATTTAGCATTTTCATATAGAGACTCTGTAGTAAGTTCTCTTATTTCTTAAAAAAGTTTAGAATAAAATGCATTCGGCTTAATGTACAATATACTTGAATATTTTTCCCTCGCTGCTCATTTATACTGCTCTCTTAATGTTTGTTCCGAATCTACAATTCTACACAGATAATAATTCAAATTACTGCAGAGTCGATTGTTTATTTATAAATATGACACAAGTATATCGGATGAATCGTTTATGATACAATAAAAACTGGAACTTTCATTTAAAGTGCAGTTTGTAAATAAAAATAAAGACCACCATTTTTTTGTGACAAACTCATCGCTCATGAAACACGCAACTAGTTGCTATCAAGAATGTGAGCTAGAAACAGACTTTATCATATGTTATTGAGTTAGTGTGTGTATTTAAAAAAATCATATATCAATATGCGAATATGATAGAAGTGTGTTAATTGAGCGCGACGCTATCGCGAATGGGTCACTGATCGATTCAAATCAATTGAAGTGAAATGGCTGTTCAATTTAAAAAGAAATTAGTGAAAATTCAATATCTTTTCACATTTCTGTTAGCAACGACACTTTATCAAAAACTGAATAAACGTTAATGGACGTTGAGAACTTATTTTTATTAAAAAGTCCAATCAAAACACATTCAT